AGGGGGTGTTTGCAGCTCTTGTCTCTGTTTCAGGAGAGTGAGCCCATTTCACGTTACCTGCATGTGGAGATTGGCACGGAGCTGCGGCAGAGACTGGCCAGGATGGGCATGGACATGCTGCTAAAGATGGTAGGCACTTGGCTGGGGCTGCAGGAGAAGGTTGTTTTCCTGCAGAAGCTATTCAGTTTGGATAATAAGGCAATGTGGCTAAAGAGAGAACCCATTTGCTTCCTACCAGTATCTGGTCTGGGTAAAGCCTGGGCTGGGCATGCTCCTGACACAGAATCCTGCCACTGCAGAGGGGACATTTGCCTGAACACAGTAGGACTGGCCTGTGCACCTCAGTCAGTCTTTGCTTAGGACACCCACTAATCCATTCAATGAATATTGACCTACTGCCCAAGTACCTTAAAGTGCAACATTATTAGCAAATGCCATGTGCTCTGCAGAGATTGTGGATGTGACTCAGAGGGAAAACAATGAGCTGGCTTCTTCATTTATTAACTCCTCTAAAACTGTCTTTTTGTTAGGGAGAACTAAATCTCAGATAAAGACAAAAAACATGGCCAGATTCAGCTTCTGACTGTCTAGTTCATCTGTGGCTGAAATAATCCCAAATGGTCTGGAAAGGAGTGTTGAGAGTGTGGTACAAGTGTCTTGTGAGGGGTTGTGGGAATCAGAAGGGAAGAGTTGCAAAAGCTCCTGACAGTACTGAGTGTGTGGGCAGTGCGTGTCAGATGAAATGCTGCTGCTAACTGCAGCATTATGCTAGAGCAATAGTGAACCTCAGTTCTGGCTCCAGGTAGTATGACAGGCTCTGAAATAGCTTTTACCACTCAGAAAAGCAATGCTGGAACCAGAATAGTTGTATGCTAAGATTGGTTTCAAATTTTAGGAGAAGAAAAGAATTAAAGGGCAAAAAAACAACTTTATGTCTATAAGTAAAACAAATACCTCTTTCTTGAGTACTCTGCAGTTCTAGTCCCTTGCTGTCCAGAACCCTCTGTTTCAGGGGCTGCAGTAGAACTAGAAGAGGTGCAGAGGAAAGCAGATAGGATGATTACTCGTGTGGAATGGCTTCCATACCAGAATGGGGAAATAATTTGGACTCTCTACTCTGGAAAGCAGAAAGATGAGTAGTTTATGACAGAGATTATGCAGTCATGAGTGCATGAGAATGAATATGGATCTATTATGTAGAGTTTCTTAATAAGGAGGACATAAAATTAACGGAAGTAATTTTTTTCAGGCAACACCAAAACCATATTTTTTCACAGAGTGCTAATTGGCAGTTGAACAAATTGATAGGAGAAATCCATGAAACACAAAGATAATCTCCTTGGGGCAGGAAGTCTTGCAGTCCCAGGCTACCAGGAGGGTTAGGGAGGGAGGGAGGGAGTAATGTCTGGTTCTTGTCCTCTTGCCAGTCCTTTCTGGTGCTAACTGCTAGCAGTCAGAGAAGAGCTACACAGATTTATTTCCTATTCTCTTGTTTTCCTTACTTTTCAATAGAGTTGTAATGTGGGTTGGTGTCCTGCACTAGACAAACTTAACCCTTCACTATAACCTTTGCCACTGAATGGCAAACGGCCTATTCCTACTGCATAACTCTTTGCCAAGGCCCACCAGTATGCCCCAGTTTAGGGCTAATTGCCAAAGGGCACTGCCATTCCCTGCAGGGATTCCTGGCTGTCCTACCTGACCTCTAGCAAATACTGGATCGCTTCACACAGCTCTGCTGACCTCCTGAGTACCCGAGCTGGTCTCCAGCAGAAGCCACTTCCTGTGGTGCTGCCAAGGGTGCTGTCCCATCACTAGTAATGACAAAGAACAGACCACAGACAACCATCTGCCATTTGCCTGGGGGCTTTGGCATCACCAGCTTTGCTTGGAATGAGCTGCTCTCACACTTACCTGTCCTCCAGATCTTCGTTGACAACTTTGTCCACGCCGACCTGCACCCCGGGAACATCCTGGTTCAAGGCACGGCACGGCCAGGCAGCGCCCGTCCGGAGCAGGCGGCGGTGCCGGAGATGAGTGACACCGTGGTGCCAGAGCTGAGGGACACCGTGGTGCCAGAGCTGAGGGACACCGTGGTGCTGGGTGTGCAGCCACCCCTGCAGCAGCTGCGCCTGGTGCTGCTGGACGCAGGGATCGTGGCGGAGCTGCAGAGCGCCGACCTGCAGAACTTCCGCGCTGTGTTCACAGCTGTGGTCCTGGGACAGGTGAGGCCCCTCTCCGGCATGGGGCTGGCAGGGGAAGGGAGGTGGTGCAGAATCTGATGGCCAAAGTGAGAGTTTTCTATTTTCCCTTAAAATGCTAAGAGGGGCAAGGAGCCTTGCTAGCATCTTATCCCCAAACACAGGGACAAGTTATTCAGCTGCAGCAAGGAGGCTGCCAGAGTGCAGCAATTTCAGGGCCCCAGGAAGTAGGAGGTGCTAAGTGGAAAGCACTGGCTGCCCATTCCTGGTTAGGAGTACTTCTGCTGCAAATTAGGACTGCCTGGGAGCCACTGTTGCAGAATCTGTAGGGTTTTGTTACAGAAGAGGGGGCAATGGGTTAACATCTTGATCTGCCACACGTGCTCCTCTCTGCAACCTTGCTGTTGGAAGGCCCATATGCCTTCCTCCATTTTGCTGTTTTATCAGCATCTATAGAGGAGAGGAAGGAAAACAGGTGTGTGTGTGGCGGGGTCTGACCTCTGCTGGGCTCCTCTATGTGAGGGGAACTATATTATCCTCTTCCCCCCTTAAACTCACTGTCAGATGGACTAGAGATCCCAGTGCTTCTGTCTCCTGTTCATTCTGAGAGCAAGCATTGTGCTCCTACTTGCCTGTTGCTGTCTCTCAGCTACAGGGTGAAGGGCTCACTAACATAGCTCAAGAGGGACACATTTTGTCCTGGTCTGCTGAAGCATGCCAAAGAATCCATGCTAAACCTTGTATCCAGGCCCATCCTGTGCTGCCAGGGGCACTTCTCAGCTACTAAAAGCAAGAACTGCAAGCATCTGATTGCAAGTCACCAGTGACCAGGTTCTGGTTGTGCTGTTCAACTTGTTTCTCAGGGGGAGAGGGTGGCAGAGCTGATCCTGCACCACGCCCGTGCCAACCAGTGCCAGGACATCGAGCGCTTCAAGGCTGACATGGCAGAGCTTGTCACCAAGGCCCGGGGGAACACCATTGCCTTGGGCAAGGCAAGTGCACCATGTCACAGTCCCACTTACCTGCAATTCAGTGCAACTTGGCACTGAAAACTGAAACAAAAAAGTTTTTTGATCAGCTGTTAAATTCTCCTTGTGTATTCCAGCTTCAGGTGGGAAATCTCCTCTCAAGTGTCTTCAAACTATTGATGACCCACAAGGTGAGGTTCTGTCCCTGTCTGCCTTTAATAGCTGGAAGTTCATATGGGGAGGGAGAGCTACTGGGAATATCAGGGGCTAACAAGGAGAGGGAGTGACTTCTGAAGCAAACTGCTAGGAGAGGAACTGCAGGAATGCACCCAAATGTTGCAGGCATGCTGTTTCTCAGGTCTTGCACACACTCTGCCAAGCCCAATTTCTGTTTTGGGTTTTTTTTTTATATTTTTTTGTCTCAATACTTCATTTAATAGTTGATATTGTCTACTCAAAGGAGTATTTTTGTAACACCTAGTTTTTCTTACCTTTTTTATAGTCCCTTAGACTATAGATACCTCCTTATAACTGATTATTTGGGGGACAAATTTCCACAGCTGCAAACAACTTTGGAAATCAAAAGACCTGTGGTGGCTTGAACTGGGGTTGTCAGCCACAGTCCAACTGGTGGAGTTGCATTATAGTTTCAAATTATAGTTGCATTATAGTTGCAAATGCTCTCCCCAGCCTCCTCCCTTCCCTCCCAGCTCAGGCAGAGCTGGTACCTTGGTTGAAGGGGTTCAGAAGAAAATAATGTCCACTGAGTCCATTCAGTCTGTTGTGGTTCCAGGTGAAGCTTGAGAGCAATTTTGCTTCCATCATCTTTGCCATCATGGTTCTGGAAGGACTGGGACGATCACTGGACCCTGAACTGGACATCCTGGAGGCAGCCAAGCCACTGCTCATCAAAACTACAGCTTCTGCTCTCAGATAAGACTCCTGTGGTTGCTGTCCTCTCCCTGTGGGGGTTACCTGTGCTGCCTGTCAGCAGACACAGAGGAAGCTGAAGGTGAGAAGGCACAGGTACCCCAGGGATGTGGTGTGCAGTGGTTGCTCTCCACTAATGCTGCCTTCAGTCATTTCAGCCAAGCACCAGGCATGGGATGATCAGAAGGTCTATTCCAGAAAGCAGGAAGAATTTGCACAATTGGACATCTCCCACTAATTGCACAGTTCTAAGAGCTGTTGTGCTCTGGTAGATTTTAAAAACATCTTCAAAAACATTGTTAATTGATCAAGTCTGTTTTAAAATATATCAGGTTAAATATTTAATTTACTGACTTACCTGCACTGTGGTATGAGAAATTATGTTCTAGCATTACCTAAGCAAGACATTCAAGCTGAAAAAAGCCAATAAACCTGTTTGTCTTTTGTACTTTTAACTTCTACTTTTATTGTAGAAGTGTCCTAACGTCCTGCATGTAACGGTCTGCTCTTAGTCATTTTGGATGACAAAACCAGACCATTAAAAATTTTTTTAAAACTTCTGTACTCCAGTACATTATGATAGGAGTTTGGATTATAAACAGAATAAAATATTTACCTAGGCAGAAAAACCTACTCCCATAATAAAAAACAACTTCTGGGAATATTTGTCTTGGTCTTAATTTTTCTCTTTCTGAAACTTAAGAGGGTTTTTTTCCTGGTCTATGTGATTTTCTCTACTGGTGCTCCCCTGGTTTCACTCTACTCAAAACCTTAACTGATATGGAAATACTTAGGGTTTTTTTCCCCAGCAGGTTTCAAACCAGAGTCCAAGCATTTTCCTGACAGATCAAAACCCCACTATGAATGTTTAAAATCAAATAAAGCCAGAAGAAGAACTGGATTACACGTAGCATTTACAGTCAATTGCTTTAATAGCAGTATTAAAATCATTTTATGGCTTCATTTTAATATTGAGAAATACAGTCCATGAATGATTGGAAATAGTGTGGTACTGAGTATATTCCCAGACCTACCCTGTGTGAAACAGCAGTAGAGCAGGTTCTCTGCAGTGGTCTGTTCCCAGGTGGTTAAGCAATGAAGAGAAAGTGCATAAGCAGACAATCTGCTGTTTTATGGTGATTATAAAGTAATGATTAATAGCATATAAATGAAGTCTGAAAAATAAGTTTCAATTCAGCTTAGTATATTTCATTAAACTACTTTCCTTTAATCACTGCATATTCCATTTCCAAGTGCATAAGGATAAAAGCAGGATTAGAGTTTAACACCTTGTAAGTTTTAGGCTTGTTTCTTTAAGTCTAATTAGAGTTATAAGCAGGCAGAGCATCATCCTAACCAGCACAAGATTTTATGTAAAAGGGAACTCAAACAAAAACAGGAGCAAGCAACCCCTCCAAACATTACCCTAAAGAAAATCTCCATGTGCCACCAGCACTCACATTCCCTCAGCAGGTGTGTGCCAGGTCTGGGGCACAACCATCCATGTTCTTGTTGAGCAAATTCCAGACAACTTTTCCAGACACTCAGCAGAGTGGAAACTGTTCCAAATGAAGGAATTTTGTGTCTAAAATGCTAAACTGTGCCTCACATGTAGCTTCCATAATCTGAAGCAAGTTACATTTTTTTCAGACCTTAAGTCTGACATTTTGTTTGTTAAAGCCTTCACCTTCTATTTTAGTTCATCTTTTCTTTTCCCTTTTTTTTTTTTCTTTTAAGTAAAAATCTCAGGATGGCTCATGCACATATATTATGGACCTTAAAGTTTTAAAATACCCATATTAGCTATGAAGGTCTCAGAGTAGTTTGCAAACATCTGGATGAGAGTCTTAACTTTGTCTTTTTAGGGAAAAACTGAAGGCATAGCCTCTCCATTATCCCTGGAGGAATGCAGTCTGACGCTGCATTACGGCCAATGCGGACAGGGGCAGGGAATTTTGTACCTCAGGTGATGAGGAAGAGGGAGCACTTCAGGATCTGACAAGCTTAGCCTCCTCCTCTCCTTTGGCATGTCCACTCACCATAGAGCAATGCACTAGAAAACCCCTCCTTTCTGATGCAGGAAAGTGCCTCTAGATTGCCCTGCTGCTCCCTCTCAGGGGAAGGGGAAGCCATGACCCCAGGAAGAGAGGCAGGTGAAGGACAGAGTAGTGGAAGTGCACTCTGGCTGCAGTTAAAGGAGATTAGAGGCCTCTCCAGGAATCCTGATGCCACCTGTCACCACTCTGCTCTGCACAGCTGACCCGACAGAGCAGGTCTGTGAACTGCTCCAGGCCCTGCTCACCCACCCTGCAGCTTCCTTATGTGAGCAGGGATGCCTGGAGCAGCAGGAGGCTCTGTTCCCTGAGGTACTGCTGGAGGGCACAGAGTTTCTGGCCTTTGTCCATCTTCAGATGAGAACTCTCTCTCCTCTGGAACACTCTCACTTTGGCAGCCTGGTGCTGGATTTGCTGTTTGTCCTGCTCCTGGGATTCTTGTTCCAGCACTTCCTGCCGTGACTGTCTTCTGCTCCTCAGCAACTCCTACATTGAGACATTAAAAACTGTACAGTCAGCCTTCACACCAAATTTCATCCTCACTTTTCATCTCTGTCCAGCTCTGGGGCCCCCTGTATAAGGACATGGATCTTGAAGAGGAGGATCATGAAGATGCTCAGAGGGCTGGAGCACCTCTGCCATGGAGCCAGGCTAAGAGCTGGGGTTGCTCAGTCTGGAGAAGAGAAGGCTCTGGAGAGATCTTAGAGCACCAGAACCTTCCAGTGCCTGAAGGGCTACAAGAGATGGAGAGGGACTTTTTACAGGGGCATGGAGTGATGGGACAGGGGGAATGGCTTTAAACTGATAAAGAGTAGCTTTAGATTAGATATTAGGAATAAATTCTTTCCTGTGGGTGTGGAGAGGCCCTGGCACAGGTTGCCCAGAGAAGCTGTGGATGCCCCATCCCTGGCAGGTTGAACAGGGGGTTCTGAGCAGTCTGGTCTAGTGGAAGGTGTCCCTGCCCATGGCAGGGGGGTCGGGACTAGAGGAACAGAATACAAATCATCCAACAGCACTATGATTCTCACTAGTAGAAGTAAGAAATGGATATAATCTATGGAAATTAATTCCTTGCATGCAGAAAGACTTATTTTGTGGCAGAGATAGGGAATTTTACTTTCCACCTTTCATCTTTATACACATGTCAAAAAAATATTACCCTTTTTATCTCAAAATGATACAGTTATATTGAATGTAAAACAGGTGACATATACAAATACTCCAGGTACTGACACTGCTGGAAACCTGGCAGAAGAGGAAAATAACTTCTGTAATTGCCCTTACCAGCCTTTCTTTCTCTTGTTCACAGCTCTGTTTGTTGCTTTCTGCCTGGAACTCCTCTCTCTGCAAACGCCATGTCTGTAAGAACTGATGCCTCTGCCTTGCCTTCCTCTCCTCCTCCTCTCGAAAGGCAGATTCCTTCCTGCTCCTCTCAGCCCCAGCAGCCTGGAGCAGTGTCATGTGCTGCAAAGCTCTCTCTTTGCACTCCAGCTGTTTCTCCAGCCCTTGCAATGTTCTCTGATGCAATCGCTGCCTGTTTCCAAAACAAAATTTCTCAAATTTCTCATAAAGAAAGAGCAATAAAAAAGAAAGACAGTGCATAAGACACAAAGCAGATATTTTGGCAATCTGTGTTCAGTTAATATTGCAAGACAACCTCTTTGTTAGGTTATGAAGATTAAATCTGTGTCCAGAACAGAGGTAGCAAAAGGCCCCAAGGGGCTGGTGCCTGATGTCAGCAGTTTTGGTCTGAGAACAGGACTGAAGGGAATCCACCCTTGGAGATAATGCTCTGTACCCACTCCCTCACACCTCAAGCACTGATTTTATCCCCAGCAGCGAACCACTGTGACTCCTCTGCAGAGCCCAGCAAAAAGCACAACATGGGATGTGCAGGGACTGAAGGAGAGCAGCAGGGAGCAGATGTTACCAACCTTCCAACATTTAGCACAAAAAGCAGACAGTTCCCAGCATCACCTCTGGCTGTCCCTGCGTAGCTGGCGCCGGGTGCTATCTGCATATTGCTGCTGCTCCCTCTTCAGCCTCTGTTCCTCTTGCCACCTTTTGTGCTCAACCTTGGCTCTGCTGAAGTTCAGCTCTTTCCACTCTTTCTGAGATGCACCACTAAGGATTGATTTCTATGAGAAAAAAAGCAAACTGCACCCTTAGTCCCAACTGTATATTGTTCTAATGCACACTGTAAACACAGAAAACCAGAACAGCCCAGCTTTAATGTCACTCCTGGGGCCTAGAAGCTACAAAGGCTCACAAATACTGTAGTGTTGATTTCCATCCATGAAAACAATGAGGATGATGCTAAAACCTGTAGAAAACGTTAGGCTTAATCAACAAAGAGGTATCTGAAAATCCAGTCTTAAGAGCTCTCCATAGGTCAGTAGGCTGTGCTGTTCTGGTGTTGAGCCAATGATTAAACTCCTCAGTTTTTGGGTCAACTTCTGGATTGGATGGAAAATCCAGGTTCTGACCATAAAACTTTATATATTCCTCACTAGATTTTATTAGCAAGAGAAATACCTGCCCCCATCTGGCCAAACCCAGAACATTCCCGAGTTCTCTGCAGGTTTTGCAGCTCTTCACCTTTTGTTGTCTGGGATTTCTACACATGCTCAAACAGCCTTTGTGTTTTCTTCAGCAGTAGCTTCATTTCAATGCTGTAGTGCTGCTGATTTGTGTTTTTAAATGCACTGTGCCATGTACAGAGATGAAGGAGCACCTACAAGGCCTCTTTTCACATCCACAGTGAAATATTTATTTGTTTTTGTACTACTTACAGTGCCCTTTATGAGGGAAGTGCAAGTAACCACCACCAAACCTTTAGATATACAGTTACATTGGATATTACAGTTTACATTGCTAGAGCTGTTTGGGGCTGGAACAGTTCCCCCAGAATATTTTCCTCTGTCAAATGCATCCTCCTATTCCCAAACGCAGTTTGTATGTTCCTGCTATCAGCTGCTCCTCTGCAAACAGAATGTCTCCTTCTAGTGCTTTCCTGGGGATAACTTGAATACCACAAGCTGGAAAACACTACAGGACTTTCAAATAATGATCCTGCCAGTCTTACACAGCATATGGACTGGTTTATCTTAACACATTGATCTGTATGGCTTCCCAGGGGCTGTAAACAGCTTTGTCCTCCAGTGTATTGCTTTTCTTAGCAAAAAAATGTACCTTGTGGGTGTGTTTAATGACGCACACAAGGAGAGATCAAAGAAAGAATCAAAGGTGTTTTGTAGGTGGGAGGTGAACAAATGATGTTTTCCAGCAGGTAAAGTACCAGCCTAAGGATCAGAAGACTTCTAGTTCCACCCCTGCCCTAACATGCATTCTTTGCTGTGAGCCTCAGATGATTGCCTAAACTTTCTCTTTTTTGCTTTCAGTATCTGTAAAAGAGGAATTTTTTTTTTTTTTGCTATCTAGTAGAGCTGGCTGAGAAGCTTATTTAGAAGAGATTATACCTAACATACAAAAACATCCTGTCAAAAGCACTGAGCTAAAATATCACAAGTACCCTGTCCTGCACAACATGGGCTTCTAAGTGGAGCTCTTAAGTCTCTATTCATGCATAACCATTATTCTACACAGGCATTATTCCTGTTGCAGCAAAATCCTTTGTGAAAGATCACAGGAGAGAACATTCTCACATGACATAAACAAATCTCCTCATCCTAAGAACTAAACCTAAATACTCACTGTGATGCTTTTGTCTTTTAGAAGGTTTGGGAGATGTGTGGCTCTCCCAGCCAGCAGGCGTGAACTGTGTGGTCTCTGCACACGAAAGGCTGATCTGATGGTCAGGCTGTCTTTCTCCAGTGACTGATTCACTTGGGCAAAGAAGCTCTGGCACTGGAAAGGAGCCAAAGCACTGCTTCCCAGGGAAGGGCTCCTCTGGGAATGCTGGACTGGAGCTTCTGCCACTCTGGACTCAAAAAGGCCTTTCAAATAAATTAGAGCAAGGACATATGAGAATATAGTAAGCTTATAAAAAGAAAGCAAATTAGAAGAAAAGGTCTGCTTATACGAAATATATTCAAGTGAGGATTTTATAGCATTTTCCTGTGAAGAAGTGGGACAGTTTTTAGGCTCTACAAGAGGTTCCAGCTTTTCAGAAACAAGCTTGCCATTGCATTTAGGCAAGAGTTTGGCCTGGGAAACTGAATTTTGCCTGGCACTTCTTACAGCTACTCAGGCTAAAGGATTGTTTACATGGTATCTCGCATGAACTGCTCTGAGATGAGTAAAAATGACAAATATTTTGATAAGGCAATGCCCGAGCTCCACATCCTGCTGTGAGATAGGAGACATTATCATGGGCACAACCTTTCTAACACAGCTTTTGGGAACTGAGAACAGAAGCAGAGTTTGCTCAACCTTTCTGCTAAGGACAGGGCAGGCCTGAATGGCAGCAGTTGCATGGAATGATGCTGGAACACCAGCTAGGAGGAATGTGCACTCCTGTTTGACTTTTCATTCTCTCTCTTCCAGCAGTGTCACAAAGCAATAACAGAGAAAGCTTTAGGCTTTCAGAATCCTCTCTTAGATGTCTGCAATTGTCACAAAGCTGAGAACAGCAACAAATCGATCAAAATCATGATCCAGTCTCTTTTGGCTGTTCAGGGAAGAAAATTCTACTCAGTGACATGATAAAGCAGTAGTTTTCAGCACAGATACGAGGATTGTTTTGCAGCAAATCCCTGGTGAAATCTTGTTGCTATACACAGTCACAGTTAATGTTAAATATTAATTTTTAAAGTAAGGAAAATTTTATTTATACTGAGCTTTACGATATAGGTTAAAAACCCCCAAACACTGCTACTGCAGTAGCTAAGCTGTAAAAGCCAAAAAGTCTCAAGTTCCATCTGAAAATTCTTTCACTTTGAGAGAAGATGAATAACTTCTCAAGCCATAGCACCATTAATACCTATATATAAAGATGGCATTATGGTATTTTCTTGTGAAGCACCAAGAATTATGGTGACAGATCTTATACATTATGCCATCCTACACTGATACTATGTGCTAAGTCTTATGTTTGGGTAAAAGAGTTACAGTTCCAATACCATGCTCATGTTCAAAATCAGCTTCAGTTTCAGCATCCTGCTGTCTGCTCTCTGCTTCTTCCTTGTGATCTGTCTCCATTAACCAGCTGTCTGTGTTGACAGCAGCATCAACCACAGCATGAACCATCTCCGTCTGAGGGCCCTAGAAATACAAGAAATGCAACTAAAATCCAGACCTGATAAGGAAAAGAATAAACTTGTTATTTAATGAGTTTACAGCATAAGATCTGAAGCTGTAACTGAAGTTTAAGAGAGAACTAAAAAAAACAAATTTGGGGGACTTCTTTACTAAAGAAACAACTCATAGGTAATTTCTGATCGCTTCCTGAGTTTCCCTATGTCTCCTGAATGACCTGAAGTACTTTTGCCTGAAAGGGTCCAAACTGGTACAAAAGAGATCAGGCTAGAGGCGCTCTGGCTTAAAGACAGCCCTGCTTCTGGCATGTGCCAGAATTTGGATTCCAACCCTTGCAGAGCTATGGAGGTAAGTGTGGCAGTAGCTGGTGCACATGAACTTCCTCCTTACTGATCCTCACCCAGTGCCCTGCTCACAAGCACCAAATCCGCTGCTGAGGACTAGATAAATATCTTGTGGCCCTTGACTGGAAGAGGGGAAACCTCTAACAGGGTGGAGATATTAAAAGAATCATGCAAGAGACTTCCTTGGTATGGAATAATCCCTACTGTAATCCTTATCCAGTGTCAAGTCTTCTGACACTTTTTCCTTTTTTTGCCTTTACCTCCTTCACACAGAAGCAGAATACAGAGGGACTGGACTATGCAGCACTTCTCATACTCTGAATCCGTGGAAGAGGTTCTAGAAGCCTGCTCCACCCAGGGATAATGACAGATTATAGCTCTTATCCCAGTTAAAGGAAGGCACTGCAAAGTCTCCCCATTCTTTAGAAGGAAGGCATAAGAAGCAGGCTTAAACCTCTAGCTTGGTACCAAGGGTAGTAAACTTGCAGTAATAAAGCAGATAGTTTGCAAATAGCAGACCGTTTATTAACAGAAGAGCTAGGGTGAAGCACTTTTTACCTTCTCAGTTTCTATAACCTTGCAGTCCTCTTCCAAACAAGACCTAACATCTTCTGGAACGTTGTCTGTCTCCAATCGCTTCTCTTCCTTTTTCTCTTCCTCTCTGGAAACCCTTTCTGAAGATGCAATCCTCAATTCAGACAGTTGCTGTTCTATTTTCTTGTTGAGCTTTCCTTCAGTCAGGCTTGCTCCTGGGATGAAGGCGTTTTCCTGCTGCACTTGGCACTCTGCAGACCGTGTGGATTCCCAGGCTCCAAGGCAGCACTGGGGAAGTGAGGTACACCCCCAGCTGCACTCTGCACAGGGATGAGTGGAATACAGAGCCTCTGGGAAGAAATCCAGGCCCAGGTGACCCTGTCTGTAGTGCCCTGAGGCTCTATAACCTGGTGCCACAAGGTATGGGTAATCCAAGCTTGATTCTACCACCATCTGCCTGGCTGCTAAAGGCATCTGCAGCTCCAGGATGATGCGATCGCTTAGGGGTAGGGGAATCCGCAGAGCTTGGGCAGAAGACACCTCCTTAGTCTGCCCATTCCAGAAATTCACAAGCATTCCCCTTTGACTGTGTGCTATGCATATTGGGGGGGAAAAAAAAAAAGGGCAAGTAATGTATTAGCAGCATGTCAATCTGTGTGAATTATCTCATAACAAGCAGGAGGTAAAACTAATGATTTGTGTTTCAGACAATTCTGTAAAAACTTCCATGATTTTATTCTTTAGAGGTTTAAAATTTGACTTTCTCCTTAATTTCCTGTGAGGAGACAGGAGATATTCAAAAATCAAACTTGCCACAGCAGGTTGGATTTTACCCTGAAATATCTGGAAAGCAGACTAAGAGATAATGAGGTTACCTTCAGGAGGATCAGGAATGTTTTTTGACTTCTGTTGGGAGGATGCTATCCCCAACTCCTAACCTTTTAGGAAGTTTTCACCCATAGAACAAAGCAAAGGCAAATTCTGTGAGCTGCATTAATTCTGACCCTGAAAAAGTGGCTTAGTGACAACAAAAAAAACAGAATGAAGAGAACCCAAGCAGAAGGAGGCGAATTCTCTGTGCTGGAGCCTGCTCTCTTCCCTGCAGTAACCAGCACCTATGGCAAGTCCAGTGCTGATAAGAAAACTAAAACAGTACCTAAAGATGCTTCTGTGTTCTCCACAATCCTTAGCACAGTGCCAGGGCCAAAACGTTTGGCTGAAGCCTCCCATGGTGCCAAGACTCTGTCCCCTGGAGCAAGAGGCTGTTGCCGGGCGTCTTCATAGTGCAGAATGTCATAGAGAGGCGTTTCCTGCCGGCCACGCTGGACCTTGCCCTTCGGAACACAACTTTGGTCAAACTCAACTAAAAAGCCTTCCCTGGAGCCCTGCAAGAGTAAAACATTTGGTTTGCAAGGCAATTTGCAAGGTCCAATTAACAGCAAATCTTAAGTACTAAGAGGGAAGTGGCAAAAATCCAAGGAAGTAGAATGTGATCTCGGAATGCAGCTTTCCTCACTGTACTGTATCCATACAACTTCAAATGTGAATGAAAAGCTGGGGCTTAAGGGGCCACAGACTTTTTTTCTTCCTTTCACTTAGGAAGTTCACTTTGGAGTTAGTTTTTAGTAAGAACACAATTAGCAGTCTAAGGCAGAACTCTACCAGGAAAACCTCCCACCAGAAAAAGAGCAGCCAAAAGAAACTGTGTATGATGCAGTTCAGAACTGCACATACTCCACAATCAGAAGGATAACAAACAGTCCTTCAGCAATCAGAAGGGTAAAAAAGCAGTAAAATGTCACAACTGGCATAAATTTAAATACTTTAATTGAAACCTTCAGCAGTGAGTGAGGGCAAGATCTACTGCCAGAATCTCAGCCTTCTCTGCAGATCCCTGAGTGCACTTACACAAATAATACTGTCAGCTCCTACGCCAGCTGATGCCATTCATGCCTATAACTATCCCAATCTGTTCTACCCCACACTGAAGCTCGCAGACATCCTCATCTACACTAGCACCAAAATTTATTAAATTAACCTGCAAAATGAACTAGATTTTAAAAGAAAATCTGCAGGGGGGATTTTCTGTCTGGCATCCAAAATCATCTCACAATTCCCAGAAACAAAGATAGAAAAGAATGAGGAAAGCTCGGAGTTTAGTAAAGAGAAAGTGGACACTGGAGACAAACATTTTGGATTACTGGCTGCTGTTTAGCTAACCAACTCTGCTGCTAGGTTGGGCAAAAGTATACAACAGGGGTAAGGCGTCTCTGAATAAAAACTCATTATAGCTACAAAAACAGATCGGTCTCCAGGCTGTTCTTACTTGCAGGGCTCCTCACAGCAAACAGATAGACATCACCAGGTAACAGATGAAAACAGGGCGTGGGGAGGCAACAGTGGCTAGGAAGCACACTGTAACACTGGAGGGTCTCCTCACAGCAAGGGCTTGGGAAGAACCACACATACTCTTACAGCCAAGTTCCCAATAAATAGTTACCTTCACCTCCTGGACAATGTGGCCCAGGTAGTAATAGCCATCAGTTTCTCTCCTTGCCAACACACGAGCTCCCCTCAGGACATGGGAAGCCTCCAGGGATGAACCAATGAAATTCCTTTTGCTTGAGGGTATCAGGGGCATGCAAAAGGGACCTGGGTTCCAGGCACAAACACAACAGCTGTGGAAAACAAAAATACAAGATGCAATGAAAAGCTGGGCACCAAATACTCTGCAACTTACTAAAAACAAACTAAATCAACATGGAAAAAAAAAAAAAAAACACTCTGCAATAACTGTCTTTGTTTCCCAGCTTTTTCTTCTCTGCTTTTCCAGTGACCCACCTACACATCATGAGCTTACTGTGTTATTGGACATCTTGGCAGCAGAGAGCTACAGGAATCTTTATTAGCTTGTGGCAGCACTGGACACGTGAGATGGACGTGGAGCTTACCTGGAAGGGGGAAGGTGGAGATGGAGCAGAAAATGAGCATGATTTTTGAACACTTAAATCCTTAAACAGGAATATTTTCTACAAAGTTGAAATTTACTTTCAGTTTATTACTTCTCTTCATAATTCTTCCACTGTATCCTGTGGTACTATGCTGCTTATCTGTAAATTCATCACAAATGGTTTTGATTTTGAGAAATAAAAGTTTGGAAGGAAGGAATATTTGAAAATAAAAAACAAAAACCAAAGCCTAAGAACTATGTAATAAACTCCCATTTGCACCTGGTTTCTATTCAGCTGCTAGGTGTGTAGCAGGGGTGGGCAGCCAGTGGCCATGTGTGTGCTGCTGCTTACTTACACAGCTTCCACGCTCCCCTGGCAAGCAAATCTGAAAGGTCAATGAAAGGACCTGAAGTCAAGGAAGAGTGAAGAAAGTGGGGGTTCAATCTAGGGAGACAAAATTGCCTCTGCAGGTCAAAGCCAGCAGTGGAGACATCCAGCCTGAGCAAGATGGGAAACATGGGGTGCTTGAGAGCAAGGACACAGGGAGTAGAATGTCAGGCACTGCAAGGAGGCAGAAAGACAAAATACAAGGCAGCTGGAAGGCAGAGCTCGCAACAAAACTATGAACTTTTTATTAAACCATTCAGCTTTTATGGAAAAACATAAATTCAGTATGGAGCACACTGCAAGGTTGCAATACAACATTGCACATGGTAAATAAAAACTGGTTGAAAAGTTTGCTGCTGTTCCCTGGAAGCTGCTGAAAATGGCTCAGATGACCAGGGAAATTAAAGTTCCTTAATTACGAGGATATCCACTGCTGCTTCAGCTAATGAAGGTGATTCAGGTGTTTGGGGTGTTAACAAATGGAGAAGATATTGTTGCTTATTTAAAATACTTTCAGGAGGGTTGCAGAAACTCTTCTCCAGTTCTTTGTCGAGTGTTATCCAATAAAGATTCAGGAGGAACTACAAGTGTGGATTAATCTTACATTGGCATCATACCTTGTCAGGAGGAGGAGAGGAGTGTTGGATTCCTTGAAAGGACCCCGCTGAAAGTCTGGGTAATTTCTCCATTATTTTTTGGTTGTTTCTTTCGTGATCACCTCAATATCCCAGAAGGCACATCATATGCATTAGTGGATGTAACTGGTTCTCCACAAGAATCTGGCAGAATTCCTCTGCCCCCGGCTCTGGCATATACCGGTGAACAGATCCATCCACCGGCAGCACAGGCTTTCCATCCTCCTCAAAGTGTCGGGACTGAAAGCAGGAACACTGCTGAGCGAGCAACAAGCAGGCAGGCGCGCCGCTGTTACAGCTGTGCGAGAGGGAAAACGGGAGAGAACACAACTCTCTCAGATGCTCAGGTGGGAATTCTGTACCGGTGTTTCTTTGCCGAGGCGTCACCCCCACGTTCCCATTCCGGCTGCCGGCCCAGAGAGGGGGAAGAGGCTCCCCAATCCTGGCCCCCAGGGCGAGTCCCGCATCCCAACACCGCAGGGCGAGTCCCGCATCCCAACACCGCAGGGCGAGTCCCGCATCCTGTTACCCAGGGCGAGTCCCGCATCCCAACACCGCAGGGCGAGTCCCGCATCCCAACACCGCAGGGCGAGTCCTGCATCCCAACGCCCCAGGGCGAGTCCCGCATCCCAACACCGCAGGGCGAGTCCCGCATCCCAACACCGCAGGGCGAGTCCCGCATCCCAACGCCCCAGGGCGAGTCCCGCATCCCAGCCCAGCCACGGCAGGAGGCGCCGCCGGAATACCGCCCGTGCCCCGCAGCCGGACCGCCGGGGCTGGGCTGCCCAGGCTTGGACAGACGGACGCGCTGCTCCTTCCGCCCCTTCCTTAAACACCAGAGCCGGAGCCGCCTTCTCCCCCGCCCGTCCGAAAGGGAGCGGCTTGTCCGGGGAGCCCGCCCCGCCCCGCGCCCCCCGCGGGAGACGCCAGCTTTTGGGAGAACTCACGGGGAAGCCGCCCTTGGCGCCGCCCCGGCGCTCCCGAGTGCTGTGGGCAGTGCCGGCTGTGCGTGCCGACCCCGCGCCCCGGGACACCACCGAGCCCCGGCTGTCCCCGGGCCGCCACCGCCCTGCCCGGGATCCCTCGGTGCCGCGGCTGTGTCCGTTCCCGGGATCCCTCAGTGCCGCGGCTGTGTCCGTTCCCGGGATCCCTCGGTGCCGCGGCTGTGTCCGTTCCCGGGATCCCTCAGTGCCGCGGCTCCCTCAGTTTCCCGGGATCCCTCGGTGCCGCGGCTCCCTCAGTTTCCCGGGATCCCTCAGTGCCGCGGCTGTGTCCGTTCCCGGGATCCCCCGGTACCGCGGCTCCCTCAGTTTCCCGGGATCCCCCGGTACCGCGGCTCCCTCAGTTTCCCGGGATCCCCCGGTACCGCGGCTCCCTCAGTTTCCCGGGATCCCCCGGCACCGCGGCTCCCTCCGTTTCCCGGGATCCCCCGGCACCGCGGCTCCCTCCGTTTCCCGGGATCCCCCGGCGCCGCGGCTCCCTCCGTTTCCCGGGATCCCCCGGTACCGCGGCTCCCTCAGTTTCCCGGGATCCCCCGGCGCCGCGGCTGTGTCCGTTCCCGGGATCCCCCGGCGCCGCGGCTCCCTCAGTTTCCCGGGATCCCTCAGCGCCGCGGCTCCCTCAGTTTCCCGGGATCCCCCGGTGCCGCGGCTGTCCCCGCCCCGGAAGGCGGCGCGGCGCCAATGGCCGGGGCTGTTGCTGGGCGGTGCGGGTGACATTGGCCGGCCATGGTGGTGGCGGCGCTGGGCCGAGCGGCGGGGCGGCTGCTGCGGGCCGGGGCCGCCGTGCCCGGGCGGCGGCGGTGAGCGGGGCGGGCCGGGCGGGGCGGGCCGGGCGGGCCGGGGCCCGGAGTGAGGCGGGGCCGCATGTGTTGCAGCGCGGGCGGCGGGGTGCACATCCCGCCGCGGTACCGGCAGTTCCCGGAGCTGACGCGGGCGCAGGTGATCCGAGGCGAGATGCTCAGCGGCTTCATGTGGTTCTGGATCCTCTGGCACTTCTGGCACAGCTCGGACATGGTGCTGGTGAGGCCGGCGCGGCGGCCGCGGGCGGGGGCGCGGGCCGGGCCCCGGCCGCGCTCTGACGGGTATCTCTCCCAGGGACACTTCCCGTATCCCGACGCTTCGGCTTGGACGGACGAGGAGCTCGGCATCCCTCCGGACGATGAGGAATAGCAGCACACCGGTACGGCTCCCGTCGCCTCTCCTCGCTCGCTGGTCCCGCTGCAGGGTCCGCGGGGAAACCTGCGGCACAGGAGGCAGCGTCCGCCCTGCGCACTCGTTCACAATGCTGTCTCGGCTGCCTAGCTGCACCGTAACAACCCACTTTGTTAGAATTGTAGCTTACCTGGTACCGGCTCTAAATTATTTTCTTCATGCTGTTCTGTAGAGCCAGCATTATCTAACTTCGAAGACATACCCTGTTTCTAGAGATCTGTCTTTATGCCCCATTAAACGTTTTAGGCTTTTGCTTGTTTCCAGTTCTTTAATTACCCAGCCTTTTTTAAACTGTTGTGTCACACATTACAGCTCCAAACCAAAAGCTTCAACTACTGCTGAAGGTAGCATTGAGGAGGTCGTCCTTCTGCTCTGCGTGGTGGGAAAATGATGAGCAAAAAGGTTCTCAGCTCTTCTGTTATTTTCAGGTTCCTGGAACTAACTGAGGCCCCTGGAACCAAATCTTTGGCTCCTGGGTCCTTATGTGAATAAAACTGTAAACAAAGTCTAAGGTGAACTGTATTTTTTTTTCTATTTTAAGTAGAATTCTTGGAAAATGACCAGGACAGCTTTAAAGCTGTACTGATTGAGTACATGTGAGCTTCTGTAATGCCTGCTTGATAGAGAATGTGATTGCCCCAAGAAATAAGGCCCATGAGTGAATGGCAGGTAACAGTCTTATCAATAAAGGCTCTGCCAAATAACCAATGAAGAGGTGAGGGGAAATTGCCATGAAAGCAGGAGAATTCACCCAGAAGAGAACCCAGACCAGTTAGTGCCAGGCTTTTCCCAGGATGAAGGAAAATTCCCCTTGGGTATATAAAAGTTCAGAGTAGTAAAGGTAAAAAGCCTTAGGGCTCAGCACAGCAGTCAAAAAGGCAGTGATGCAGCTTAAGGAAGATGAAGAAAGAAGGGTTACACTGCAGGAGTCCCTTGATACTATTTTTTTCCTTCTCTTTCCCCTTCCAGAGTTATATCCTAAAGTAACATTTTCATTCCCCTTAACCACCCGAGTTGTACCCTTCCAGCTTTGTGGAGAGGAGTCATGCATGACACAATGAACAATCTCCTTCAGACTTTTCCATGCAGTCAATCTTTATTATAGCAGTATTCTCATATTCACATCAAGTACATAGAACTTTTTACCTTTCATATAATACAGAGTTCTTTAAATAACTTTACACTGAAATAGTTTTCTTCAATCTGAATTCAGCTATCAAATTTTAATATGTTTTAAGTCTCCATGCTCTCTAACCAAACTGGACAATATTTCCCATTGTACAAATTTACATGAGAAAAACTCCAAAGTACAAATGAAGGGACAAAAAAAGTAAAGGGAGAAGGAACAAACAAGAAAAATAAGTTGTATTGGCAGTTACAGGGGAAACTTGAGAAGGAATGAAGGGGAGTTGCCATGACCTACCTAACAGGAAACCAAAAATAAACATTTTGTTATGAATTAAAAAATAAATACAAGTTTTTGAAACCATTACTCCATTGTAGATTTTAAAAAGCAGCTATGGAAATCTACTAACACAATGGGTTGTTTTTTTTTTATTTTTTATTTTTTTTTAAGTAACCAGACTGGACCTTCTACTTTGCAGTCATAAGCCCCTTGCAAACCTCTGGTGGTCAAAAAAAAAAGAAAAAAATACAGCTGAAAGGAGTGTGTTAGCACAGAGTTTAAAGTGGTGGGACATACATTTCATTGCACTAAGGAACAAACAAAAGAAATCAAATCTGTATATAAATTTCCCTTTCCTCTCCTTACTATGTACTTTGCCTCTCATAAACAAGCCTCTCTATTATGAGGTAATGCCATTGTCTTGACTATATATAAAAATAATAAAGTTTAAAGGATATAGATCTGGGTATCTATAAACTTTAAACAAGCCAGTCCTCTCTTACTCCCCCAGAGGGTCCAACCAGCGAGTGCTACCCCTTCCGTCACTGCTCCATGCATGGTGCTCTCCTGGGAAGCCCGGGAGACCTGTGCCCCTTTCCTAATCTAGGAAAAGCAGCCTGTGCTCAAGTAAGAAAGAGAGACAGTGCAAGTAATGCACAACAGGTACACACACCTACACCTGCTCCTGCAAAACAAGCAGAGTCACAGAAGGCAACAGTGGCCAGCCTGCATGTGTGTGTTGGATGCCATCAGGCAGCTGATGGCCAATTCCTTTTGCAGTTGCTCGAGAATAAAGTCACTGTCCAGCCCAGGTGAGCCTGCACTACACCCACAGGCAGTGGGGATGAAGGTTCCACCCAAAGAATGGAGGGCCAGGAGAAGCTCTGCACCTGGAGTCAGGATGGTCACAGAGTAGATGGGCTGGCTCATGCATCCCAGGATGGCAGAGTCTGCTCTAGAGGCACAGGGCAGTACTGGAGCCCAAGAAAATTTCAAGAGTGGAAAACAAGTAGGAGGCAGGACTTTCCTCAATCCCAACACTGAGATCAGACTAGCAATGTTAATTTGGTTGCCAACACATGCAAGTTGGCCACTGTCAGGTTTCGGTCAGTTGAGAAGTGTGGAGAAGGGGAGGAAGGGGAGGCAGGTAGGACACAAGGCTCATGAAAGAATGATGTGCCTTTTTTTTTTTTGGTTGACTTTTTTTGTGATTTTTTTTATTCCTAAAGGTTCACAGCTTTGAATGAAAAAGCACATTTATTGCACTTACACTTTATTTTAGACAGAGTTAATTTAAATTATGCCTTCATAACCCCCCACCATCCCCAAATAACCCAACACCCAAGTTTGGTCCATTTTTCCCCCTAGATCCAACATCCATGCCCACATGATGGGCTTCATTTCTTCTCCTAATATACCACTGAACTCCCAAACACACAGATGGATTTTCTCTTCAACAAGGGTGAGTATACAAATGCAACACAGAATGACACTTATCAAAACAAAACCTGACCATCTTCCAAACCCAAATAAACAACAAAAAAAGAAAACAACGTTACTTTTGTAGTTTACTTGCTCAAAAGTAAATGTCACACAAGGCTTATTCTAAAGTACAGCTGCTGCAAACATGACAAACTAGACAAAATGACTGGACAGGCCACCCTTGAGGAGGCTGAACACACTGCTGCTGGATGCTATGAAGCAAATACTAGGTAGTTTAGAAGTTCCTAAACAAAAAAACCAAAACAAAATAAAAAAAAAAAAAACCAAACAAAAAAAAGAAAATAAAAAGAAAGACAAAATAACCATCACATGTACTTTTAGTGCAGAATTTGGGGTAGGTAGAAAGATTCCAGATAGTTACTGGAAAATAAGTAGAACATTTTTACACTTTGGAACAAACCCAAATTAAAATTGGTCTGATATCTCATATGAACTTTGCATTTAGACATAACCTCATAAGTTACAATTATGCCAAAAGTCCTGCCCCAAGGAAGAAAAGGAAAAGATCTGAAAAAGCATTAATATCCAAACCCATTATTTTGTCTTTTATGGACAAGTAGGTTAAATATGACACGGATATGTAGGTACTGCCAGAAGTCTACATAACCAGTTGGAAATTTGAACAAGTCAAATTCACAACTACTGGCTGTCCCTCAGCTGACAAGACACCTACCATCTCTCAGAGTTCATGTGCAATAACAGGATGTGATCACTGAACAGCAAGCAACTGCAAGAGGCCCAGGGAAGCAGTGAGGAAACCTGCTGACATTCCAGAAACAAAACTTAGTTCATTTTTTGGGACAAGGAACTAATTGTATGGTCTGATATATGTGAACCTTGATTATATGAATGCTAGCCACCAGTTTCTCCTCATCTAGCTCTCATTCTCCATCTACCATTTCCTTCCAAGATGCTGTAGGAGTGTAACCTCAGGCCTCTTTGGAGCTTTCTTTAACAAGATCTGTGTCTTTGGAAGGGAAGGAGGCCTTACTTGTTTCTAAGTTAAATGAACCTCATGACCTGTTGATAGAGCAGATTTCAAGCAGCGGGTTTACTGTAACTAAATT